TATTTTTTGGCTATATCGGCGGTGTCGTCTAATTCAAAACGGTACCGCGAGTAAGCCCAACGGTACCGCGGACTAGCAAACGACAGTGTTTACAATAACAAACAATGTTGCAAAAAGGAAAAACAAACGGAGTTGTTATGGCGCTAGTGATGTCGTTGGCCATAAAACGATGCCGCAAGAGGAAAGAAACGACACCGCGGATTTGAAAACGATGCCGCGGGTATAATCAAGCGGTGTTGTTTAGCTAAAAACGACACCGTTTAAGGCATCAACAACGCCGTAGTATTACTAAGCGATGTCGTTTTGTTAAAAACCATACCACGATGGTTTGGATTTTGGCGAGTGGCCCGGCAAGCTCAACGACATCGCAAGACAAGAAAAACGGTACCGTTTGGTAGAGAACAATGTCGTGGAATGAAAACGACATTGTTTGTCGGGACCGGGACGGAGCAGTTCAAGGTCGGCATCGATTAGTGAAAAACGATGTCGCGGAAAGATCAAACGATGCCGCAGGAGGTATCAACGACATCGCGGTATCATAAATGATATCGTTTGATCATAAACGATATCGCAGTGGTTAAGAGCTCGGCCAAAAGTGGCCCTCCAAGCCCAACGACGGCGCGAGACTAGAGAACGACGTTGTTTGATGGACTAACAATGTCGTTGGTTAAACCGGGTCGGGGTAGTTGAGTTGGATTATAAAACGGCATCGGTTGGTGAAAGGCGATGTCGTGGTATTGGTGAAACGTCATCGTTACATGGACAAGGTTGTAAGTCGTTTCGCCAAGTTTCTGCAAAGCAAGAGCGGTTTCGAGGGCACGTGATTGTCACGCAACAAGGAGGAAGTTACTTGCACAGTTGACAGGAATGAAGACGTGGGAGACAAAGGCGCCAAGGCAGTTACTACGACGGGGAGAAGCGCGAAGTATAAAGATTGGGAAGAGAGAGAAGCTCGGGACGGCAAAAAAAATCAAATCACAACTGCACCATTGCAGAATTATCTTTTTTCTCTCTAGTTTCGTAGAACCGCTCTGTCAAAGAACTCCTTTGCAGAGTCGTAGATCGTAGCTTGTAGTCGTAGTCGCGGAGCTCTCCAGAGGAACCTCCATAGGAGTAGAGGTAACGTAACTTAGAACACTCCTGGTTCGATTTTCTGTTTATTCGAACACCCTCGTTCGAACGTAGTTTGGAGAGGTGTTGAACCGAATAACAGTTGTTTGATTAGAAGTCAAAGGTGTATCGATCAAATCAACGACGCCGACACCGGCGGCGGCCATTTGACGATCGTCTTTGTTTCTGTTTTAATCGATCAAATCAACGGCGCCGACACCGGCGGCGGATATTTGATGATTTTTTGCTGATTTGGTGTTTGTGTTTACTTGAAACCAGTGCACATTGAACACGCGAGTTTCGCCAACGAAACAGAATCCGGCAACAAACAAGTTCCCTACAAGCAAAAACTTGGTTCTGGACCACCATTGAAATTCTATTTCCTTGATCCTGAAGTTCCCAAAAACCAAACCAGAGACAGATTGCTTTCTGTTTGTCCTCTCCAAGATTACTTTTTTTTAAGGGTAAGTTGCAAGTTTGGTTACTGGAATTATTTTAAAAGTTCGCGTTTGTTACTAAAATTAATTTATTTCATTCGTAGTCACTAAGATTAGTTCAGTAGTTCAAATTTGGGCACTCTCCGTTAATCTCCGTTGACTTTAGCTGATGTGGCAGTCAATTCTAGGAGTTGACCGTTAAATAAGTGATGTGGCAATTAAAAAATACTATTTTTTTAATCTAATAAAAATTCCACCTCATTTTCAAAATAAAAAAATGAATTTAATTTCTTTCATTGCTCTCTTTCTTTCTTCCTTATCCTCTCTCCACCCATCTATGTCCGACTTCATCACCTCGCCCGGCGGCTGCATCTCCAACTCCGTCTCTCCGTCCTCCTCCATCACCACCACCGATGCATTCGTCGATTCTCCATCCCTCCCTCTCTTCATGTTAATCGCCACCTTGAAAATCATCGCTTCCTCCAACTCGCTGGGACACCGCTTCACCGGCGCAGTGGCGGATCCAGGATAGAGTAGAGCACTGGGCCACATTAGAAAAACTGAATCGCTAAATGTCGCCCTTAAAATTGCTAACGGTCGCCCTAACTCTAATGATAAATGACTTATACACCCCCAATAAAATTTCAAAATTTAAACAAACCAAACAATCCCTAACACCTCAATGAACCCCTCATCTGCCTTCTTTGCGAATCCCTCTCGACGCACCAGTTCGTCGGCATGATGATGATGGATTCTCTCTTTTGAATAATGTTTTATTTTCTTTACTAAGTGGTGTTTGTTTACTAAAGGAGGAGTAAAGAAGCTAAAATGTTAAATTTGTAACTTTGATGTTTTTTAGGGCGACATTTAGCAATTTTAAGGGCTACCTTTAGCAACTCCCCTTAATTTTCGCTAGAGGTATTATAGCCCATTAATTACTTTAGGGGTCGTTTGGAGAATATGAGTTTAAATCTACCGATTGACAACAATCTAAAGATTCTAACTCTTCGGATTGTTGAAAACAGATTTTAAAATGTTTATTGTTTGGTAACTGTGATTGTTAACATTCAATAAAAATAAAAATATTATATTAAAAAACATGTTTATCCTTAATAAAAAAATTTGAGTGTTTCAAGAAATATTAAAAACTTTGTTGATAAATATATTTCATGTGATAAATAAATAAAAAGAAGAGAAAAACTAGGAGAAAAAAATCCACGAATCAAGATATAGAATCTCTCTGATTATGAGAGATTTGATATCTGCAGATTTTAGAGATTTGAAATTTTTAAAGCTAGAATCCACAATACAAAACGAAACAAAAAAAAACATAACTTTCTATAAAATCTACAGATTCAGTAAATCCACGTCCTGAATCCAGTTCTCCAAAGTCCAAACGACCGCTTAGTTTTATCTCTTCCCGCCCAAATACTTCACTGCACCTGCGCATGGGCTCCTCAATTAATATTATTCCATTAAGCCCACACATAAAGCTCATCAGTTTAATTATTTGGACGGTAGTTGTTCATTTTGAAGCCTTTAGACCTGCTGATTAAAACAAAAAAAACTTCTAGACCTGAGTTTGGAGTTTTTAATGTAATTGTTTGGGCCAATGTCCAAAATAAAAATTGGATTCCACTATCACATACACCCATCACAAAATATGAATTTTGTTGGACTCTTGGTAAGACATTACTATGTATTCTATTAACCCCACATTACAGTCAATTAATGGTATGAAATCATATATAATTCATGTCTAATGCATTGCCAGGTCTACATATATTCAGTGTTAGGGAACCATCATGTGTTTTTTCAATTTCGGTTGGCCTTGGTCAAACTGAGGGTTGACATGATTTGACCAGTGCTGAACCGAAAAATGGTTTTGGTTTACCCCTGGTCAACGAGGTTAATCTTTCTTTGACCGCATGTCAAAATGAAATAAATTTTTGGTTTGAATCGTAATTGGATCAAAATTTTATCGCAGTTTGATCTCTGTGCTTTAAATTATTCCAATAGTTTAAACATTCTTTATTATTATTGAATTTATTTTAGTATTGTAAAACCACATTGGAGATTCTATAAAAAAAGTGTCTGAATATGAAAAGAGCACTCTACAACACAAGTTGGGAATGTATTTTAATAGGTTCTAGCTAAGGTTCTCTTGATATTTTAAATAAGGATCTCAAAATTAATTATATTTCTTTGATTTTTTGTAACTCATAGTTCCTTTTAGGGTTAATACCTTGTTATGGCCTGAACTATGACCATGTAATTAACTTTGGCCAGTGGTTTGAGAAATTAACATCCTGGCCCGAACTATGCAGCATATAGACAAAATTGGCCTGGAGCGTGGTTTGACCGTTTGTTTGGACGGTCAACACCGTTGACCGTTAGTCAACTGTCCAGGTCACTGTCATGTCAGCATAAAAAATTATAATTTCATTTTTCTTTTTATTTCATTTACAAAATTGAATAATTAAAAAAAAACAAAAAAAAAAAACTTTTGACCCACCCATCCCCACCTTATCCCCTCACCTTCTTTCCTTTTCGATCAAACCCAAACAAACCCTATCTTTCATTTTCTTCCTCCTTCTTCCCCGACGAGCGGCCGCCTCCATTCTCTCCGACTTCAAATGCAGCGGAGAGCCGCAATTTTTCCTTCCCCTGTTCTTGCTCTGTTTTTCCTCCCACCGCCGATGCTTATAAATACAGAAATGAAACGGGAGGAACCACGTCTCTGATGGCGATCACCTGTTATCAAACCGACCCATCACAATCAGACAAGGCCAAAATCCCACCAAACCCTAAAAGTCCAATTGAATAGAAAATGGAAGCGCGATGAGATGAGATGAGACCACCGACGTTTTCGTGATCCAAATGGCGGAGCAGCTTAATCTCGCGGAGGGTGCGTTTGGCGTCCATGTGGTGGTCGAAGGCATTAGCTATCTTCTTCATCGCCACCATCTCGTTCGTCTCCGAATTCAACACCGAGCTGCACATCACAGAAATCCCAAATCAAAACCCACAATCAAAAGGAAGGGAAAAAATCCAATCAAAAGATCATAAAAAAAAAATTCAATTAGAGAGAAGACGATGAGCTCCAGTACCAGACGATGTCGTAGGCGCCGCGGCCGATGGGCATGATCGGAGGCCGGTACTTTGGGGTGATCTGAAACTGATTCCCAAATTCTATTTCTGTGCATGTGTAGGTAGAGGGAGAGAGAGAGCTGTGGTAGCTGCTGCCATGCCATAGAAAGGGGAGGGTAAAACACACTACTTTTACTCCTACTACTAAATTAGATTGGGGTTTCAGGTGTTTGGGGGTTCTGTTTTTTTGTGGGTTTGTTGAGGTCTGGCTGTTTGGGCTATTTTGAGCAAAATTCATCTACCCACCTGGGAAAATTTATAATAGTATTTTGAGTCCAAGAATAATAGTGCAAAATAGAAAAAATGGGTCGGGGGAGAGTGCAGCTGAAGAGGATAGAGAACAAGATCAACAGGCAGGTGACGTTCTCAAAGAGGAGAGCTGGTCTGCTGAAGAAAGCCCACAGATCTCTGTTCTCTGCGATGCTGAGGTCGCCCTCATCGTCTTCTCCCACAAAGGGAAGCTCTTCGAATACGCTACCTGCCTCTGAGCTCACTTTGTAGTGCGGGGAGTTGCTTCGATTTTCCGAAAGCTGATTACTTTAGGGAATAATTCTGCGGCTCAAGGGAAATACCAGAGATTGGATTTTATAAATACAGAAATGAAACGGGAGAGAAAGAAGGCTCGTCGGGGAAGAAGGAGGAAGAAGATGGAAGATAGGGTTTGTTTGGGTTTGATCGAAAAGGAAAGAAGGTGAGGGGATAAGGTGGGGATGGGTGGGCCAAAAGTTTTTGTTTTTGTTTTTTTTTTTAATTATTTAATTTTGTAAATGAAATAAAAAGAAAAATGAAATTATAATTTTTTATGCTGACATGGCAGTGACCTGGACAGTTGACTAACGGTCAACGGTGTTGACCGTCCAAACAAACGGTCAAACCACGCTCCAGGCCAATTTTGTCTATATGCTGCATAGTTCGGGCCAGGATATTAATTTCTCAAACCACTGGCCAAAGTTGATTACATGGTCATAGTTCAGGCCATAACAAGGTATTAACCCTTCCTTTTATGAGCATGGACTTTGCTACCTATCCATTTCCCTAAACATGATACTTTAGGACAAAGTTGGTTTTCACTTCGATTTTTATTACAAATTTGATTTTCTTATTTAACGAAAAAAATCAATTTTGTTGTAATCTTTTCAAGCTTTTTGCACTAACCTACCAAATAGCAAAAAAAGAGTCTCACAACACGATGTATTCATATTCCATTAATTAGGCAGTGATATTGTTTAATTGTCGTAGTTTTGGACTTTGATTGACAAAAGTTGCACCAAATCTCACTTATACCATATATACACTTATCTAAACTCATATCGCATTTCTCATAACCACATTTACTCCACTTGGTTGAAACAAAATTATAATAGGTTAAGGATTGAATTCATAAATGTGAAGTGATAGAAAATCTTGATCAAGTATGTAAATCAAGTACAAAAAGATTTCAACAAATGATTGAATAGAATGATTGTGAAACATTCATAATTTATAGCAATATTTGCAGATTTTCACTATATTTAACCAATAAAAATCTCTAAAAAAATAAGAATTGAGATATTTTCCTCAAATAAATGTGAATATTCCGGCCAACTGGCCGGGTCCAAGCTAGTTAAAGAGATTCTTCATCTCCAGCAAGTCAGCAACTCCTTGCTCAACTGCATGTTCTCCCTCCGGAGCCTCTCGTTCTCGCCGAGCAGCTCCGCCGTCAGCCCTCCTGCCCCGGCGAGAGGCGAGGAGGAAGTCGAGGAAAAGTCGAACTGCTCCTCGCTTGAATTCGACGGCGACGCGAAATGCTTAATCGAGACCTGAGTCGGGGAGGGAGTTTGTGCCGATGACAGGACCTTCCGCCGCTTTATCTCGTAGAGGAGGCGCCTCTCTCCTCACCGAAAACCGTCGTTGGAGAATTCCCATCGATCCGACACTAGTTTTCTGAATCCCTAATTGGAAAACAGAGACACCCAAAAGGCCGAAACGATTTCAATTTCCGGTACGTCTGTCCGGAAGAGATTCAGGGAGCAAGAAATTATTTTTATTTTTATTTTTTAGTTTATTGTGAAAATGAGATGGAATTTTTAAAAGATTAAATTAAATTTTTATTTTTATTTTTTAGTTTATTGTGAAAATGAGATGGAATTTTTAAAAGATTAAATTAAATTTTTATTTTTATTTTTTAGTTTATTGTGAAAATGAGATGGAATTTTTAAAAGATTAAATTAAATTTTTATTTTTTAATTGCCACATCACTTATTTAACGGTCAACTTTTAGAGTTGATTGCCACATCAGCTAAAGTTAACGGAGACTAACGAAGAGTGACCAAAGTTGAACTGTTGAACTAATCTTAGTGACTACGAATGGAATAAATTAATTTTAGTGACAAACGTAAACTTTTTAAGTAATTCGAGTGACTACACTTGCCATTTCTTTTATAATAAGAATTACGAAGCACAACTACAAAACGGACTTCTATGGGTCATTCGTTGATGGTGAGCTTGAGTAGTCGAGGGTAGGGGTGTGCAACGGTTCGGTTCGGTCCGGACCGAACCAAACTCATGAGAACCGCGGTCCATTAGTGAAAGACATGTTAGGACCAAGGACCGGACCATTCTTGCATTTGGTCCATTTGGTCTGGTTCGGTCCAGTCCAAATATGAGCTCGGTCCACCATTTCTTCAGTAATTATAAAATTCATGAGGACCGAGGACCGGACCGCATTTTACTCGGTCTAGTCCGGTCCGGTCTTAACAACAGTGTAGTCCGGTGTGGTTCGGTACAGACCAGACCATTGCACACCCCTAGTCGAGGGGGCTTGGGTTTGATCAGCGGCCGGACCTCCGTCTTGAACAGAGGAAAACAGAGGTTATCCACCGAGAAATACACAAACCCGCCGTTGGCATGGGTTACAAACGACCCGAAACTCTTCCCTGCTATGCAGTGCCACGCAAGCCCGTACGCTCCATCAAACTCCTGATCACCCACAAAAACAGTCAAATCAAACACTGAAATTATATCTCTGCTTCCAAATTGTCAACACAATGCACTAAAAGTAAAGCCAGTCTAAGTCAATGGAGCTTAATTAAACAACAAAAGTGTTCCAGTGCGGTTGTTGGCTAAAAGCAGAAAGAATATAAAAGATTTTGGGGGGGAAAAACAGAGGAAGCAACTTTGTTTTAGAAACTTCCTCACGGACCTTCTTCAAACACATGGCGAGGCGAGTGGGATTGGGCCGCTTATCGTGGCAATTAGCATCGAGAAAAGCTCTGGTAGATCGGAAGGCGCGCTCCTGCATCGTCCCTGGCATGTCGGCGGATCTCAGCCGGACGTTCAAGTCGACGGCGATTGCCGCCAGCTTCACCTCGTGATTCACCATGGACGGGACAGCAAGCATTCTCGGAGGCCTTGGTGGTGGCGGGCAGTACTGTACCATTGCTCCGTTGTTGTTCTTTCCCAGCGTCCGACTGTTCTTTTTCTCTTCTTCTCTCCCGCCGGTGTCTGGCTGAAGCTCTTCCATGGAAGTCCCCTACGGGGCGTGGACAGAGAAACAGCGTAGGTGGAAAGCAGTGGAGAGAGAGAGAGCGAGGGAGAGAGTCGAGAGATGCGTGTTTATATGGTTAAAGTTGAAATGGGTTTTTACTTTGAAAACGTTTGAACAAGAGGTTTGACTGAACCCAGGTGGAGAAAAAAGACTAATCAGAAAGGAACAAAGCTGCATAGAACTACAAATACAATAAAAGATAAGACAATTCAGTGATTTAATATGGGGAACGTAGCTGAGCGGATAGATACGGCTCAAACTTTTTGACTCGGGAAACTGCAAAAGCATCAATCAAATTCCCCCTTCTTCCCTGACTCATATTTTTCTGGTCCCAAATCATTCGGAGGACCCCTCACGTTACACCAGTTTCGCCAGCACTGAATGCGCCCTGATTGATTCAACCATATGCACCCGGCTCCCAGCCGGCCATTGCTACCTCAATCAATGATCCTGTCAATTCATCAATGTCATAGATGAACTTTCTCGAGGGTGGAGAATAATCGTTTCTAAGAACTACCAAGCTCACTCTACAAAAGGGGGCCATCAAGGGCAATAAACAAGTATAAAGTTAAGTCTGATTTGTTCTAAAGCGAAATCCAGGCCGATAATAAACAATAATCTGCCATGACTGTCTGTTGTTTCACTAATGACTATAGAGCTGCATCTCCTGCTGAGAGGAGCCCTTATCTGATGAAGACGGAGCAGGACGATCATGGTTTTCGGTGGTAGAGGTCTCTGTGACTGACATCTCTTGGACCGGAGGGGGGTTGACGATGGTCATTGGCATGACGAAGTTATCCGAGAGGCGTCCTTTCATCTCCCTGTGCTCCTGGCAGAGAGCGCACCAGTGCATGCAGCAGTGCACCATGCACGGGTCGCATGGAGCGTTCTGCAAACCAATTGAGAGACATTAGTCATAAGAATGAAAGGTCCATCTTCTATTCTTCTTAGATGCTTTAAGTTCATAGGGCATTCAGGGAGTTCCGCTTAAAGGACAGGATTATAAAATGGCTGGGCAATGGCATATTGCTGGCTCAGAGCCACTAATAGATACACCAAGGCAAATTTGGTGCTGGCGACATGCTAGAAATTCAAGTGGTCTAAACCTGAAGAGTTAATAGGAAGAAGCTTCTCCAACGTCAAGGAGGTACCAGAAAGTTCATCACAAATGACTCAAGAAACAACAGAACTATGGATTCTAGATGAGCTGAAACGCAAACTAGAACTCCAAGGTCTTACAATCTCCTGAAAGAGCTTTGTTTACAGGACAATGCAAATAGCAGCCAGATCACCAGTCAGAATAACCAAGCAGAACTCATAGTGCTCCCAACATATACTAGTGCACTTGCTTTGCAAATTAACAAAGCCAGGGTCCAAAGATCAAGTCAGCCACACCAAAAGACACAACAAAACCCAGATATCCGAAGAATTACCTTCAGATGATACTTCTTCTGCAAAGACTGCCTAACGATACCAGTGTAAATGCCACACATCCACCAAGCGAACAACAGACCCTCGCATACAAGGAACGATGTATTTGGATCCATTATAACACCATGGGAGAGTGCCGTCACTGCAGCTAGCGCAATACCACCCTCGATGCAGACGGCGTGACAGAGGCATGGTGTAGTCCATGGCGTATCATCTCGCATACTCTCAACATTCCGCCCAAACAGGACACAGGGGCAGAATAGCCCTGTCCAGCCTGCAGAATAGCCATAACAGAAAAACAGCAGCATCACTCAATACTCTGGCATCCATGATAAACATCTCAATTCTCGAAGTAACGGAGGAGATCCTATACTAATCACAGCATTCTCATACAAATTGTGGAACTGCGTTTCCCCTTACTCTCAAGGCCATTTACCCTTCGACATAAAAAAACAATCGCAATAGAACAGGCATCAAGGGAATAGACATCAATTGCACGTTTGCCATCACAAGATCTCACAACGGAATCTTGCTTGATACATGAACGATATCAGAGAATTAGGGTCAGCACAAAACTTACAGCTTTCAGAATCTTCAGCACATCCAAAGATCCCAGTACTCCAAGGCTCGTCGGCCGGCGGCGCAAAGTCTTCCGGCAAAGGCTGCCCACACTCATTACACTTGTGAACAGTCAGCTGCCAAGCATTTAACCGCCAGTTAACGACAAGATCTCAGACGGACGACGCCGCAAACACGAATTTCAGGGCAAATGGGACAAACTGCGCTCCGATTACGTCAAAAGAAATGAGGGGAAAGAATTCCGAACCTGAGGGACATCGATTGGCTGATTGAGCTCGCCGGGATTAATCTCGAGTGGGGCTTGTTCTTTAGTGAGCTTGACATAGCGCGAATTCGTGCCTGCTTCCGCCATCTCCGGAAAACCCCAGATTGCCGCAGGGAGAAGGAATTCCGGCTGGTGTAGGGTGTAAACCGGGCAGATCCAAAATGCAAGGAGCAAGGGCGAATGAGATCGGATGCGGAGAATCTAACGAGGTAATGGTGAGGATCTCGGCGAAGATCCAGAAACTGGAAGAGAGAAAATTGGGCGTTGGCGAGAGGTCAATCTCGTGGGGAGTCTATTCACTCTATTGTGGTTTCTTTAAATCTTTAACCCAGGTTTATGACACAGCCAAGGCAAGCCATTCGGTTCGGGGCTAGCCGGTGCGTTCGAGGCCAACCGCCAACGTTAATAAACGTGCGTACTTGTAGCCGCCTAGCCGGTGCGTTCGAGGCCGAAATAGTAGCCCGCTACCCGAAAACATTATTTTACAAACAAACTCCATCATGAAGATATCCAGGCCGGCGTTGCATATTTTATCACAAAATCATGATACGGAATAACAAAATGAAACTTGTTTTATGTAGAACGAGAAAAACTTAATTTGCTACGCCAATTTTTATTCGAGATATAGTTGTAGATTATGTTATACAATATGATGTTATCTTTTTTATTTGAGATGGACTTGTAAATGTTGTCTAGAATCTAGATGTTTTAGTCGATCACTTGCTCAACACTTGGGACAATGAAGAAATTGAATTTATTTATATATTTTTTTACATGTGATCTACACATGCACTTTTTTATACCTTTGTGTAGTCTTGTCATGTTTATACAAATGTGGTATATGGATCACGCACATGAGTGATATAGAGATTTAGAAAAACATATTACATTTTTTGGTTGACCGTTAAATGAGTGTTGTCGTGGCTTGGGACAAAAGTAAGGCTGGAAGTTTGGTATCGGTATTTGAAATATACCGAATACCGTATCGAATTTGTTTATATTTGGTATTACCAAATACATGTATTATTTCTTGGGATTGGGATTGAGATTCAATTTCAATTGTTATTTGGTATTAGGGATTACGGGATTGTGATCGGTATATACCGAAATACTGAACAATACCGAAATATAAGTTAGTGAGCATTTTTTCCTCTCAACTAGACTCTCTCATTCACTACTACACTACCCTCAACCACCAATCTATTGTTATTTTGATAACACCAAAAAACAAACACTAGTATTAGTCTTCTCTCAGCCTCCAATTCGTTAAATTAAAAATTACTAATGAGAAAAACTTGAGATGTCACCTCTACTTCATTCTCTTTAACCATATCCTAGCTCTAGCCAAACTCAAAACTCTTTGTTTAGTCTCTTTGTTCAATATTAAACAATCAAATCTAATTTATATATTTAATTAATACTTATAAAGGTAATTAAGTTCGTATTTGATAATACCGATTGAGATACCGAAGTACCGATTGAGATACCAAAATATTTAGGGATTGGGATTGGGATACCGAAATTATTTAGAGATTGAGATTGATTCTAAGGTGTAATTCGGTATTTGGTATCGGGATACTGATACTGTACCGATTTCCACACCTAGACAAAAGAATGACTGCAACTCATTAGATTGCATTTGCACAAGCTAGCTTCCGCGACATGTGGTTTTTTTTTAGAGCAGAAGTATCTGATATGTGTTTATTGAATGATTGAGAGTTGACTTGCACAAAATCCGTGGATGAAGTGGTAAACAGAAATGCGAAAATTCATGAGCTTTTATAACATCAAAGGTAGACCTTTATGTGATGAACGAGAGCCTCATATCTTCAAGTTGCAAAGCTATTACAACATGCGTTATGATCTAATAAGTTTTTTCTCCTCACATTTTCCCATTCTCCCCATTCATCAAGAGTGAAGACTGAAATACATATGCACAAATTGACCTCGTTCCCCTTAGGAAGGCCAATTTCTGTACCACCCGGCCCAAGCCGAGACCAGCCCACTAATCCCAAGCGTAACCGTATGGTTACAGAAAGGGTTGGGCTCAATATCCGCCAGCGCAATAAACAAGTCCGCCACGTTCGCCGCCACACCCATCAGCCGCATCACCCTATCCGCTCTTATCTTCCCGATCGCATCCTCCAACGACGACGTTTCGTCACCTCCCTTTCTCTGCCGAAGCTCCCTCTCCTTCCTCACCCCCTCCCTGATCAGTATCAAGTCCCCGACGATGAAGAACACGTACCCGAACGACTCCCCGAACGCCGACACGAAGCTCATCCGGCGTGCCAGCCTGGCCTCCAGCACGCCGATCCTGGACAGCCAGAGGAAGTGGTCGAAGAAGAAGTAGACCATCTCCCCTGCGTTGGCCAGGACGGCCAGCAGCCTGAACGTTTCGGACGGGCCGGGGTTCCTGCGGAGGGCGTTGAACCCGGTCAGGAACCGGCCCGTGCGGAAGGCCTTCCTGCTGAGGCCCGAGGCGAGCTCCCATTGCTTGAAGCGGCCCGCGAGGTCCGGGCGGGTGGGCTCCACGTGGTAGTGGACCAGCTTGGAGACGTACTGGAAGGTCTTGACCAGCTTGTCGATGCCGTCTCTTTTGGCGAGGAAGGTGACCAGCTTGTCGACGGGGTCGCTCATGGTTTGGCGAGTACTGACTGGGGGGAATTGGACGTCGTGGGGAAGTAAGAGATCGAGACTAGAGATAGAGGTCGGGGAAATTGGTGCTAATGGCTGGTGGTGGCTAGATAGCGTGGTGGAGGGGAATGGGAACTAGAAAGGAGAGCCACAGAAGGGTTGTGATCTTGGATAATTTTTGTATGGCATTATTCAGTGTAGTATTATTGTGGATGAACGTTTGTTTTGATTTCTCTTATATTGGTGTTTTTTGTCTTGTTTGTGACGAGGCGGAGGCCATCACAATTGGTCGAATATGTGCTGGGTTGTGGATTGATTGTGGGACCGGGAGTGGGAATATTACACTTTTGTATTCGCTGTTAAGTAGTAATTAAGGGAAAATTTACAGAAACTGTATTTAAACTACGGGTATATATGTTTTGATTATGGCTAACAAATTCGATCAGACTGGTGTGGTTGATCGGCGTAGTGATTTATGATGTGATTGATTTGCGTGGTTTATAATGTTCGATTGCGAGTTTCAATCGGTCGACTCAGTAGTAGAGAATATGTAGGTCATTTTGTATCATAAAAATGGTTGACTGTTTTGTTGAACACATCGACCTCTTAATTTGCGGGTCGACCAATTTCAAGACACCATGTGTACACCTCAACAGCTTTTGGTTAGCTCGATCAACCATTTCCATCATGAATCATGTTGATATTAACTCGAGTTAAGAGATTTTTTCATGTTCTAGTTCAATACCGAAACATTTCTAGTGGTGGAATCTCGTTACAACATAATAAGGTACGTAATGACCAACCAGCCGACTTTACATTTCTTTGCAACGATGGAATTTCGTTCTAACAATAATAATGTAATGATATATGATTGGATGTTCTCGAAGAGATCGGTCATTTTTTTTTTCAAATCAGCATGACTTGTAGTTTTAGCCAAATAACGTGTAACAAACTCCTAAACTTTGATTGTTTAATCTTGGAGCCTAACTTGCATATGAACTGAAATCTATGTCACATTTGTTGTTATTTACTTTTTCTAACTACTTACCTCTTATACAAACTACACTTCTATCTTCTTTTTATTTTTACGAAAACTAGACTTCAATTCACCATTAAATATTGTGCAAAATGTTACATTTTAGCTTACAGGTTTCCTACGTATAACAATGGTATATTCGCGTTAGAATTTTGCGGTTATGGAGGACTATGTTTGCTGGAACCGATGAAACCCTTTTGTTATTGGTGGACTCACCTTCTTTTTCTCTTAATGTTTAATGTTCCACTCACATTCACTGGTTTCTGAGCCCAGAATAACCTACCGAGCTTGCTCCTTTAAACTCCAATACAAAACATGGTGTTCCAATCCTTACGTGAGTTACAGGTTTCCTATGGACAACAATGGTCTGTTCGGGTCAGAATTCTGTGGTTATGGAGGATTATGTTTGCTGGCACCGATGAAACCCTTTGTTATTGGTGGATTCACCTTCTTTTTTCTCTTAATGTGTAATGTTCTTAATTATGCTAAATAAATTAAGAATTAACCTACCGAGCTTGCTCCTTTAAACTCAATACAAAACATGGTGTTCTAGTCCTTACGTGAGTTACAGGTTTCCTACGGACAACAATGGTCTGTTCGGGTCAGAATTCTGCGGTTATGGAGGACTATGTTTGCTGGCACTGATGAAACCCTTTTGTTGTTGGTGGACTCACCTTCATTTTCTCGTAATGTTTAATGTTCTTAATTATGCTAATAAACCAAGAATTAAAATATAAAAAAGAAAGATGAACTCACCAATAGGAAATTGACATGTGGTTGGTTGGAACTTCTGCGTCCAACCAAGGTTGGAGCTAAGAATTTTCCATTAGCACTCATTGATCATTCAATGTTTCACCAATTACTAATTAGAGCATGAGATGTGAGCCTCTCCCAATAGCACATGTTGATAAAGAAGAGAATAAGAATAATTTCATTAGTATGTATTTTTTTTATTATTATAAAAAAGTGGGAACTCTGAACATCAAGAAGTAGAGATCAAACAAGCTATCAAAAAACAATAAAATGAGATAAAGAATTTGGATCATATCACTAATCACACACCTCACTCAACCCATTTTTATTTCCCTCATTTAATTTCACCCCACGCAACTTTCAGGTTCATTATTATCTCATCCTACTCCAAATTATTTTGGTTAACGAAGATCCATAACATACATCTTACCTTTTCCACTCCCATTCACTAGTTTCTGAGCCCAAAATAACCTATCGAGCTTGCTCCTTTAAACTCCAATACAAAACATGGTGTTCCAGTCCTTACGCGATTTACAGGTTTCCTACGGACAACAATGGTCTGTTCGGGTCAGAATTCTGCGGTTATGGAGGACTATGTTTGCTGGCACCAATGAACGCTTTTCTTACACATGTTGTTGCTAGATAATGAGGTTAGTACGTGCATATATACTTCATTATTTCCATCTGACATCATTGGTATTCTGTCTCCATGCTGGATTTATTATCACATTTCATGTATGAATCATTCAACCAACACACGGTTCTAAGTGTTCAGTCTTTGACTAAAAAACACTTGCAGGGAACAGAAATGGAAACTGTCATTCATCGCCTAGACATCCCTAGCTTCTTAGCAACTATACAACAAGGAGGAATCTACAAAATTGCACACTTTGATGTTGATTCCTATGAGGCTTCTTTTAATGTTGCAATTTCAAATAGGCAGATCTCTTTTTGTCGTCACACTGGTATGCAACGACTTGCAAATGCTGAAGACATACCTTTATTAAGCTTTCGGTTCCTAGGTCTATCTAATT